CCTCCTCTCCCAGTCATTGTGGCAACAGAACTCACCCTCTGCTCTGCATCCGTCTTCTGGGTAGAAGCAAGTAGGCTAGATTAAATATTCCTTATTCTGTCTCCCTAAGTAAGTGAGACGAAACGATCCTCTTATTTCATGTTGATCTGGAAACAACCCTATCTAAATTTCCAAGCATGGTCTCTCTCTCTTTCTCTCTGTATGTGTATGTATTTGAGTTTGCATGATACACACACACATACACATATATACAGAGAGAGAGCAAGAGAGTGAAAGAGAGTGGAGGAGGGGGAGAGAATGAGAGCTGTCCCTAGATCTTAGGTCTGGCCCAGAAATCTCAAGACTTTGGATGATCCTGAACTGGGAACCCTATTTGTCTTGAGAGGTATAAAGATGCTATTTTTGTTGTAACTACCCAGGGCACTGAAACGTCTTTGCCTCCCATGGCCTTCTCTTCAAACAGAACTGCCATTTTGCACCTCATTCTTTGCATTGAACATACGATGCATGCTGGATCAAACCAAACTCGTAGCTATTTAGAAACCCATGCTATCTGGACAACTTTGCTCAGTGGAACCCTAACTGAGGTCTACGAATGGCAAATATCTTTTTTTCTTCAATTTCTCTCCCTTTTTTCTGATTTGCTTCTGGCTTGGTGATTGCACTTGTACATCTGGATCTCTATCTCTTACTTCCTTATGGATTCTCTCTCTCCTCAATTGGCCCATTCAAACTACACAATTATAAGTTTATTATATTTTCCTTTAAATGTCATAGCTCCATCTTGTATAAACCTGGGAGTTGCAATTTAAGGAGGGGCATTTAGAATTCTTTGCCAGAGAGCACTGTTGCATCATTTTTTCTGTGTGCCTTTCAAGTCATTTCTGACTTATAGCAACCCTATTACAGGGTTTTATTTGTTCAGAGGCTGAGAGTATGTGACTTGGCCAAGACCACACAGTGGGTTTCCATGGCTGAGCGGGAATTCAAGCCATGGTCTCCAGAGTCATAGGGGGGAAGCAGGCGGCATGGGGCCGCCCCAGGAAGCTGCAGATCGGGGCCGAGGCA